AGAGACCTCTGTGGGCCGGCCTGCGCCTGGACCCCTCCCAGGACCCGCCGCGGCCTGGGTCAGAGCGGGGCCAGGGCAGCAGGCGGCCTTCCCGGCCTGCAGCGGGCCTCTCCCCCGGGATGTGGCCCAGGGCCTAGCCTGGGTGCTGCTGGTCTGCCCAGAGGAATGTGAACTGCGCTAGTGGCCGGGGCAGCGGGGCTCCCCGCGAGGGTGGGGGGTGGAGGGTGGGGCCCGAGCCAGCGGTTGCACAAGCCCGGAGTGGGCCGGTGAGTCACCCGGGAGGGCAGAGGAAGGCAGAGGGTGGGGAGGGGGCGGGCCGGGTCCCCCAGGGCCTCGGCTCTTCTGGGCGCCTCTGCCCATTTGACAGACAGGGAGACTGAGGCCACGAGTGCCCGGGCTGAGCCAGCAGCTGGGCGGCCGCGGTCAACCGGGCAGTCCTGTGTCTGCGGGGCTGGGGGCTCCTTGGGCAGGAAGGGGTGCCTCCTGTGCAGCCCCGCCCTGCCCCGACAGGGCACGCCCATGGTTCTGTTGACCCCAGCCAGGTCGCAGCCGGGTCTTGGCCTCACCCCTTCCTCTGACTCACGGTCCCTGAAGAGCCGGCCCCGCAGGGAGGCAGGGGTGAGGTCGAGGAGGCTGAGGGGCCGGTTCTCGGGTCAGAGGGTCCCCGGCTAGAGCCTGGGCAGTGTGGGGTTCTCACGGCGGGGCCCCTGGGCGGCCCCTCCCACGCCCTCCCCACAGGCCGCTGCCCAGGGGCTGGAGGGGCATGGCCGGCGTGCGCGGTGCTCTGCGGGCATCTCTGTGCGAGAAGCCCGCGCCCGGCAAGAGCAGCGTGGCGGTGCCGGGGTGCAGTGAGCACCTACTGTGTGCTCCCGAGGGGCCGTGGCAGGCGGGCGGTGTCTGGCCAGCGTGCCGTCACCTCCAGGAGGCAGGCTGTGCTTTCCAGCCGCGCCGTTGCACAGACAGGGAAACCGAGGCAGGGCGTGCACGGCCGGGCCTCTTTCCCTCCCCAGCCGCGGCCGCCCCGCTCACCAGCCCTCTCCGTCCCTGGCGGCAGGTCTCGGCGCGGAAGATGGCCAGCGGCGTGGACGGCCCCATCGGGATCCCGTTCCCCGACCACAGCAGCGACATCCTGAGCGGGCTGAACGAGCAGCGGACGCAGGGCCTGCTGTGCGACGTGGTGATCCTGGCGGAGGGCCGCGAGTTCCCCACGCACCGCTCGGTGCTGGCGGCCATAGTTTGCAGCTTTGCCTTCAGGGCAGGCACAGTATAGAACAGCTAAAGTTCTAATAGAAAATCTGTTATCTTTCGGGTCAGAAGAACAGGGGAAAAGGGTCAGGGCTACCAGGGCGACCAGAGAGTGGAAACTCAAAAAAGAGAGAGCCAGAAAACGAAAATTGTAAATGCCACACATACAGGGGGGGGGGTGGAGGCTTCAAAAAATTCATGGAGAATGCATATTATGAAAAAATTATACATGGATTTCGAAAACTTTTTGCGCTAAAGTAAACTCACACTCTAGTTGCAGTTCCCCACAAAATTTTTGAAGTCTATTCTTATAGGCTTCATCTGAGTCTCTGGCAGCACAGTCCATATGTGCTCAGAACAAACTGAAAGCAATCTGGACTGAGAACTGAGCCTTTCTCTGACCGCCAGACACTGGCAAGTTTTCCATTTAAATGTAATTGCTTGCTAACACAAACTTATTAACACTCTTCAGAAAGATATGACAGAATTCTGAATTCTCACAGCATAACATTTACAATATCTAGGATCTTAACTTATTTAACATATGAGCCAGGAAAGTGTGAATTTTTTAAAAAAGACAATAGATCCCTAGATGATCCAGATGTTAAATCCAGCAGATGATCTCGTCCGTGGGCCGCGCGGGGGCGGCCGGCGACAGTGACGAGGAGTCGCGTGCGGACGACAAGGGCGTCATGGATTACTACCTGAAGTACTTCAGCGGCGCCCACGACGGCGACGTCTACCCGGCCTGGTCGCAGAAGGTGGAGAAGAAGATCCGGGCCAAGGCCTTCCAGAAGTGCCCCATCTGCGAGAAGGTCATCCAGGGCGCGGGCAAGCTGCCGCGGCACATCCGCACGCACACCGGCGAGAAGCCCTACGAGTGCAGCATCTGCAAGGTCCGCTTCACCAGGTGAGCGCCGGGCGGCCGCGGCTCCCTCCTCCCTCTGTGCTTTCCGCCCCATCCGCCCCATCCGCGGTGGAGCGCAGCGGCCTGGGAGCTGGCAAGTGTTCGGGAGGGAGGGCAGCACCCTCGGGCTCCGGGCCTGCCCCGAAGCCCTGCCCCGGCGCCCCCGCCTGCCAGGTCCAGGCACTCGGTGCCTGGGTGTTCTAGGCCGACCGGGCCGGGGCTGGACCGCAGTAGCCGCGAGAGGTCTGGCATTTCTGGAGCCGGGCCACCACGGCACCGTGGCCACTTCTCTGGTCACCTCGCTCCTGTAAGGCCGGCTTACTTCTCCCTCTGTGAGCAAGAGGCAGCTGAGGGAAGGCCCCGACGGGGTGACGCCATGGCCGGCCCGGCCCAGCCCCAGCTGCCCCGTGTCGAGGGCGCACTGGCGCACTCGGGGAGGGCCTGGGCTGCGAACCAGGACCCCTCCCGCGTGGGCAACACACAGAGGACTGCTCTGAGGCCCCCTAGTCTCCCACAAGCCTGGGCATCTTGCAGCTTCTGGTCTCCTGGTAGTGCCAGGCCCTGTGTGGGCTCGGGGGACGCAGCAGTGGGGATGGCCCAAGTCCCACCCCGTGTTGGCAGTGGCACTTGAGTTGAGACCCATGGAGGTGACAGAGGGAGCTGCAGGGAAGAGAACTCCAGCAGAGGGAAGGGCCACCGCGAAGGCCCTGAGGCCAGGCTGGGGACAGTTTAGGATCAGGTCTTAGGAGCCCAGGGGGTTGGGGGGCTGGCTGGGCCTCGTGGGCCCTGGGGTGTCCGACCTGTGGGCGAGGGCAGGCAGGGGCCGGCCAGGCCGGTGACTAAGCCTCACCCCTGCCCCCCATCCGCCCTGGGGTTCCCCAGCCACGCCCACTGAGGCTGAAGAAAGAGGCCATTGTCCCCACTTCCCGCCCCCACCCCATGGGGACAGGAACTGCCTGACCCCCTCCCCAGCAGCACCCCGCCCCCTCC